AGGATACCGACAGAGCACCTCAAAAACAGATCTCTCAAATTGCTTCCAAATTTCAACTTATCGAACTTTTTCACTGATAAAGAGTTAGGAAATATTTACTTTACTTTTGCTGTGACATTAAACCTACCTTTCGTAATCCTACGTCAAATCTACGGTCGTGTCTTGCATACAACCTCTTACTTTTTATTTTATCTTTTTATATTCCATTTTTATTTATGATTTATCAAATGCTTTACATCAGTGCTACGCGTGGGCCGGACATGGTCTCTGGATCTCAGAAATGACATCATTCTAGTCCATTTTTTTTCATCATTATGAATTTTAGCTCAGCATGAATGAGAAAGAAACAAAATGCAGCTTGATACATGTTCATCGAAAATAGATACAGGCATTTAAAAAAGCGAGTTTTGAAAGGTTGGGCAGGCCTGCTCTATATTGACGAATAGAGTTTCCTAATCATTCACCCTCCCACTAACAAAACTCCTGAGACATCTATGAAGGTAGTATGGGTTCCCTGCATCTTCTTAAGTAGATGTTGGATTAACTTTCCCTCCCTTCCCCTGCGTGGATGTGGTCAGGTGTACACTCAGGTCTTTTTTTACACGGGGGATACGGTCAGTGTAAAAAAAACCGTGTTAAAAAAAACCTACGAGATTTTGATTTTTCGCATGCTTAAATGTTTTTAAAAAATCGGATTTTGATGCTATTTGTAATTAAAGCATGATATGGTTCATATAGACATATTTTAAAAATTTCTGTATTTACACCAAAAATTGTGATTTTTTTTAAGTATGCCATTCGATTACAAATAGCTTGAAACGGATAATGTGATTGGAATCAAGTCGATACGTTGTATCGTTGTCGAGAAATCGTTAAAAACGTACCGTGTAAATCGTGGAAAACCGTGTAAAAAAAACCGCGTAAAAAAAACCGTGTAAAAAAAGACTTCGGTGTATAATGTGATGCTTGTTTTGTTGATTTTATTTTTGTGTGGAGTTTTTTTTTCGGCGTCAACACACGATATTTTCTGTAAAACGTATTAGTTGACCATTATATAGCCACTCACGATTTGTACAATCGCATATGCTATGCTATCCAGCTTTCCATGCTCGGTAATAGCAGCATGTTTGTATGAATAAATGTATCCTTCACTGTGCTTTTTGACACTTTCTTCTGTTCCTGGGAGAGGGAAAGGGAGAGGTCAAAATCCGAACCTCCAGATAGTGTCAAAAAGCATAGTGACGGATACATTTATTCGTAAAAACAGGCCGCCATTACCGAACATGAAAGCTGGATGCTAGGCTATGCTAATTTGCAAATTTTACATCGAGTCGATGTAGGGTGTAAGTTAATTTTTAATGGTGACAAAATCATTTTACCAAGTTCGTTGCGAACGAAAGCACTAGTAACAGGGGTAGGTCAGGCCACGGCAGGAAGTTATCTTAAACTTCAAGTTGTTAAGAGTACGCATGGGTACATTTTGGAGACTGAAGTGGTCCGTGTGCCTCATTTAGTTTGCTTAAGGGGGTAGTACACTTTGAACGTCCAAAAAGTAAGGTATTTTCGATAATTTTTTTAAGCAATAAAACACTCAGGGAGGGCAAATATGTTATAACCCATTTATTAGTCATCCTTCGAACTTCAATTTGTATTTTTTTTAACTCGATTGGCGTCTCCCCGTGGCCGGTGTACCAGGTCGCGCTGGCGTCCACGCGCGGAAGTCGGAAAACGGCGTGGGAAAATACTCCTTTCCATGTGATCCTGGAATATAAATCGAACAAAAATCCTGATTAGTAATGAAATTTGGGTTAGAAATACGTATTCCGATTTTTTTTTAAATTAATTTTTTCAAAAGTTGTGGCCTTAGGGAAAAAAAAGTCCTTTTTATCACCCTAAAATGCTTACAAAATCGTGGATTAAAAATCCATTTTTGACAAAATCGAAAATTTGGATACGTATTTCTAAGCAAGAAAACCTAGGCGATATCCAAATTTGATGATAACTGGTTAGAGTTATTTCCCACGCCAGTTTGAAAAACCCCGTTTCGAGAAAAACGCGTTTAGAGATAAAATTGCTCTCTCCGCGCGCCGGTACATGTTTTAGGAAATCGCTTCGTAAAGCGGTAAGGAATATTCTGGCGGACTTGGAGTCTTTTCTAAATTAAAGTATACATCCCCAGGAACATTTTAAGCCAAAAAAAATGCATTTTTTTGAAAAATCAAAGCGTACTTCCCCCTTAACTACAAGAATGTTCCTTCTGAACTTTATTTGAATGTTATGGAACTTGAAAGTGGGCTTTTTCATGACCAAAACTAGACTAGACTGAACGAGGCATAGGACATGAAGCTCGATCAAAATACTTTCTGGCACTGCCGTTCAGTTATCAAATCTAAAACCAAAATATAGTATATATAGTTTTATTCGTTTTAGTCGGTTCGACTATGATAACCGGACAATATAAGTTTTAAAAAGTATTCGTGGTTATCTTCTCTATTTCCGAGATCCCAAAATAAGCTACAAAGGTAAAGTGAATCGTTGATATTAGCATGTTCTTAATCATCTGTTGGTTCCCTGATGCGCATGAAACGCATTTGCATTTGATCTTAGCAGCTACAACCTATTATCGACATTTGTGGTGATAAAATTGTGCTTCAAATTGACCCTCAACCCAGCAATATTTTACATAAAAGCTGGCCGGCACCGGTGGTATAGTGGTAAGCGTGACTGCTTTCTCACCCCAATGGGTCTGGGTTCAATCCCAGCTGAGGTCGGTGAGATTTTTCTGAGGCATAATAATCTCTGGTCACGTCTTCCTTCGGAAGGGAAGTAAAGCCGTTGGTCCCGGCCCATGTGTGTTGTGAATGGGTGCGATATCCTACGCAGGTGTGGAAGCTGCCTTCCTGCACATTCGATTGCCGTCAATGGATGGCAATCGATGTCCATTAGACTGATGCAAAATTTGAAATTTTCACGCTCCACAGTGCTCAAACGGTTCCAAATTGGGCCCTTATTAGCCTCCTAAAATTTGAACTCATTTAGTGAGAAACTGACTTGGCACAAACCATTTGAAATTTATATGGAAATTACTATGGAGAAACCATAACCACTGATGTCTTATGATTATGCTCAATCATCTGTTCAGCAGGCAACATTGGTGTTTATGGCGCGTAGAATAGAGAACAAAAATCATGGCTACTATGTCACATTGCAGAATACAGTGTTGCCCACAATACACACCCATTTTTTATTGCTGAAATCCAGCAATATTTTGCTGGATTTTGCCGAACTGGAAGTTCAGCAATCCATCCAGCAAAATACTGTTTGCTGGACGATCAGCAATTAGGCCCAAAGTCAAACTGACAGCAGTTTGCTGTAAAACCAGAAATGTATGCTGATTATCCAGCATAGCGTAATGCTAATCGTTTTGCTGGAAGAACAGTAATCCTCAATTGTTTATTTTTTTTTTATAAAATTGTTGATAGAATTTTTACTGAAAAACACTTAAGTACACTGGCGTGCTGTATTATAATCGTACAAAACTTTATTTTCTCATATGAAGACAATTTTTTAACAAACGATAAAAAAAAACTGGGCTTATTTTGAGCACATTCCATAGGCCAATCTAAATTTTTGTTCAAATGAAAAGGCTATAAATAAAAAGAAAATAACATTTTAAACTTAGTCAACTCAAAGTTAAAAATACTTACTCCATGATTAAAATACCATTTATGTAATTAATGGGATGATTCCAAAGTTCTTGACTCGAAAAATAAAAAAATAACCTGCAGCGAAGAAACGATGGCCGGTCGACTTTGACGTTTCAAACAGATTACTGTAAAATCCAGCTTTTTTATGGATTGCTGGTTGTTCAGCAAGAAATGTTTTTGCTGGAAGCAGTACAGCAATTAATTTTGCTGGAACTCGATTCAGATTTTTGGTGTAAACAGTTGCTTAATCTTGCGATAAGATTATCAATCTCTTAAACAATTAATAACTATTTAATTTGACGTTTGGCTGAAAAACAATTTTCTGCAAAGTTTTAGCTGATAAAAATTCCCATAAGAATAGCAATAGAATTTGTTAACAGTACAATATGTACAACAGTACAAAGGCTAAAAGACAATGAACAAAAAGTTTTGTTTTCCCATACTAATTTCCATATAAACTTCAAATGGTTTGTGCCAAGTCAGTTTCTTATCAAATGAATTCAAACTTTCGGAGGCTAATCAGGACCCGATTTGAAACCGTTTGAACACTGAGCTCAGTAATAATGAGTCAAAAACTTGTGAATTTTGCAAATGAGTTTAAGTGTCTTGGACTAGCCTTACTGTGTACAGGGTGCGTGACGAATTTTTGCAGTAAATTTCAAATAGTAATTTCTCATGCTTGCGGATCATGATTTAGATATATTTGGTAGCACTGAATTGCTCATACTGTTAGGTGTAAGATGTAAACAAACAGTGTTGAGTAAACGTAAAGATGTCGAAACAAAAGAGCAATCGGTCAGCCGCTGTCGCTTTGTTGCGCGCCGGAGTAACCCCTAACACCACACTTAAGTCCCTAAAAGCTAAAATCAGTTTCCGGAAGCGTCTAGCTACAGTCGTCGAAAGGGAAGGCGATTTTTTTTTAATAAAATTAGTTACAACTTCCATATTTTGCGAAAGAAAATAAATCACATAACATTCATTGCTAGAATAGCTAACTGGTGTAATTTTTCTCAAATATGTCATTTACTGCAAAAATTCGTCACGCACCCTGTAGAGAACCTATTGGCATCATAAACTTATTAGTTGCATTTCCTTTATCATATAAGCAGATACAAAAGGCTTTTATTTTCATACAATATTATAAACTATATGTAAACAAGCTAACAGAACGATATATCTTATTACAGAAAATTTCCTCTTGGAGCCACAAGAGAGAGTGTTCTCGATAATCTTCCGGCCTTGGGATACTTCAACGAACATCAGTGGACATTTCCACGACCACAAAACGTCAAGATGATCGACACACTTCTCGCCATGAACAACCTCAGCATTGTTGATGCCATCGACGTGCTGGGATCAATTTGTGAGGACTTCATTGTAGTTTGCTATTGGGCAGGGAAAAAGTTTCCTTGCTTTCAAAAGCATCCTTTTTTGAGCTGGATAGGTTCCACTAGTCATTACGGTGCTTGCTGTTCGTTCAACTACCACCCAAGCGTGCAGGAAACGATGGCTCCATTCTCTGTTAATACATACGGCATCCATGGAGGTTTGAGTGTAGTCGGAACCGGATATCCTCAAGCATCCGATGGCAAATCTGGTGCACTTTACTCGGAAGGATTCATGGTGGGTCTGGCTTTGGTAAAATGAAAATGGCTTCTTTTAAACTAACGTCCTTTTCAGCTGATGATACACCATCCCCATGATTTCGCCGTGGAAGCAGCTCCATTGACCCTGTTGAAACTAGGGACGGAGACATTCATCAGTGTATCGCCTACAGATTCACGGTGTTCGTCGCAGGTTCTAGTGCTACCTCAATCGCAACGATCTTGCATCACTGGTCGCGACTTTCCAGTTCCAATAGAAAACTACCGTCAACCTGCTTGTACACTGGAATGTCTTCGAGATGATGTGCACAGAAAGTGCGGTTGCCATCCCTATCATTTACCCCGACAATCACAGATACCAGGGAACACTAGACCTATCCGGGATTGTACGGTGTATGATTCCCTGTGCATGATTGATAACTTCTGTGAGATATTGAGACATCGATTGGAGTTGAATTTAGTGTGACTTAGTTTGTTCTTCTTTCAGATATGTTCAAACGACTGCAATGCCAGTGTCTACCTGCGTGTAGTGATGTAACTTATAAAACATCCTCGGTAGTCACGGATTTCAAGGCCCATAAATTTTCCATGAGTAATTTTTAGTAAGTTTGATTCTGCATTTAATCAATAATAATTAACGATTTTTTTCTGAACTTGACGGGGACAACCTCAGAGTTGGGCTATACATGATTAGATAATAACATGGAAGCAATAGCTTTCTATAAATTTTATGGACCTACGTCCTTCGAAGAGATTCGACCTTCTGCGCAATTTTACGCCAACTATCTAGATTCGTGGTAATTTGTTTCAATTTCCTAGATCTTCCTAGATCCTGCTTTATTTGATCTAACAATCCCGACCGGAGCTCCTATGCGTCTTGTATTGGCCGGATTTGAGACGATATTCTCACAACGTGTTTCATGACCGCTGTCACCAATGATCCAAAGTATTGGCAAATCAAAGTTGGCACTCGTGGAGAATAAAAGACACTGGCGTGCACAGATTGGGGCAAGGTGGGGGCAATTGCCCCACCTTTTATAAATAAGATTTTTACTTGCACGTTTACAAAATTATGATATAAAATAACTTTCTTGATAACTTGATTTTAAGGTAAAATAATTTCATTGCATAATATAAGGGCACTGGAAACCTTTTATTGCGTCAATTCCTTTGAGATGGTGCCTGAAAATTGCACCACAAAGGTGCATGAAGGGACAAACTTCGATGAAATTTTTTGGTTAGCAAATTGCACCACAGTAGCGCATTCAAAAAATTCTGGTGTATTTTTTTGTTTTCAAGGTTCATGGAGGGTTAAAAGAAGAGGGAAAATTTAAGGTTTAAAAAATTCACCCTCGTGGTGGTAAATCGAAGAAAAAGCTTTCAATTGAATATTTCTGGTGTAAAAATATCATCAAGGTGGTGCATGGAGGGACTAATCAAAATCAATAACTCTGGTGGAAAAATTGAATCACGCTTAAAATTTGGAGGTACACATTTAACTGAAAATTTTTGATGGAAAGTTCGCAACACTGTGGGTAGAAGCAAGGTTTATTCATTTTTCTGGTGCATAAGTCGCTTCATTGAAAATATATGGTGGAAAATTTGCACCATTTTGGTGCATGAAGAGGCAAAGCCTGAAAATTGCACCACAAAGGTGAATGGTGAAACAACCTTCACTGACCATTTTTGGTGCACCGTTCTGGTGAATGGAGGAGCATGCTTTATTAAAAATTTCTGGTGCAAAATTTGCATCGCTCTGATAAATGAAATGAACAGAATATTTCTGGTGGAAAACTTGCACTGGTATGGTAAATGAAGGCACAAGCTTTATGTAAAATTAAGCTATATTGAAAATTTATGGTGCAAAATCTGCACCGTTCTGGTGAACGGATGGGCAAGCTTTTAGGAAAAATTTTGTTATTAAATTTGCATCCTTCTGTTGAATAGAGAAACAAACTTTAATAATAATTTCTGGTTTAAAATTTGCACCATTCTGATGATTGGAGGGGAACTGCTTTTCTTAAAATGTATGATGAAAAATCTGAAAATATTTGTTGGAAAACCTGCAACATTCTGATGATAGGAGATGCAAGTTATATTAAAAATGTCTGGTGAAAATGGAAAAAGGAAATCTGCACCAAGCAGAAGATTGGAAAAGCTGTTTTTATTGAACATTAACGGTGGAAAATTTGCATCGTTATGGTCAATTGAAATTTTCTGGTCTAAAATTACCTGGGGGCAAGTTTGTATTGAAAATTTTTGGTGTAAGATTTGCAAAAATCTGCTGCATGGAGGGGCAAGTTGAATTGAAAATTCCTTGTGTAGAAATTGCACAGTTCTTGTGAATGGAGGGGAAGCTTTATTTAACATTTCTGAGAAGAACCTCAAGGGTATTGAATTCTGAGGACAGTTCCAAAAGAAAAGATTTCTGGGATGATTTCATGAAAATTCTGCGAATAATTTCAAGTGAATCCTGTAGATAGTTCCAAGATAATTCCGAAAAGAATACCGAGAAAATTAAATTTTGAGTGAAATTCCAAAGAGATTTTGGGGAAAATTTCAAGGGAGTACCGATAATTTCTAGCTCATTCCGGGAATAATTTTTGGATAATACTGAAGAAATTCTTCTGAAATTCAAAGAGAATTTCAGTTCCAAGGTGTTGTGAGTAAAAGTCAAGAAGTTCTAAAAATAATTTCAGATTGAGAAGTATTTCAAAAGAGTTCTCTCATAGAGTTCTAAAAAATTCGAAGAGAACCTCAAGGAATTCTGAGAATGGAATTTTTCGCAACTGTACAATGTTTAAAGACAGCTTTTGGATTCCCTAATTTAAAAGTAGATATTAGTTTGCCATTGAACCTTGGCCTATTGTTGCCTTGCTAAGAATTCGTCTAAGAATCTTCTCTGAAAATTTCAAGTCATTTGTTACCGTCGTTAACAAGAAGTTACAGCAGTTTCTGTGCGTTGCAATAAGCTCGGGTTTGTCCATGATATCATCTTTATGTTGAATGTTCGACATCATTTCCTGTCACCCCGACTGGTACTTTGCGGCAGAGTTGACATGCTCAATCCTTCGCACAAGTCGTCATTCCGTTAACAATCCTGTACTCGCTTGTCAAAATAGTTTTGTGCGCTTTTGTTCCAATCGTTACATATTTTTTATCCTATTAGCTTTGGCATTTAGTTTAAAATTTGGAAAAAAATAGAACTACAATTTTCGCTGAAAATGACCAAGTTCAACGGCCTCGCAACGGTAACCGTAAAGTGTAACTACAACAGCATATAATACCTCGTACAGACTATGGCCTATATCATGTAAAATAGACTGTCTTGCAATGAGCACTCACATACAGAATTTCCATTGAAAACTAGATGTATGAGTGCTCATTGCAAGACAGCCTATATTACATAATATAGGCCATAGTCTATACGGGGCATAAGGCAAAGCGGCTACAAAATCGCTATATAATGGAACGTTTCATCGATATTGTGCGCATACTTAGCAAAGGTGGCCAACCACTTCGTGAAAATTCTGGGAAAGTGTGCCTCCTAGTTGGTGGCTACGATCCTGTGCTGGAAAAACACTTGGCGGAAGGTGTCAAAAATTGCCAGTACACAAGTAACCGTATTCAAAATGACACAATTACGTCGTTGCACAATGTAATGTTGCGGAACATCGCGGAAACCATGCGAGAAAACCAATGGCAATCATTACAGATGAGACTAGCGTTTGTGGCCACCACGAGCAGTTGGCGATTGTTATCAGGTATATTGATAATGATCGGCCGACGGTAACATTCGTGGGTGTGAGACGGGTGTTGAAAACAGACGCGACGACCATCTTCGATAGCATTTCTGAGGTCCTGACAGCGATGCAGATTTGTTGGGAGCAGTCGATGGTTTGACAGTGCTAGCACAATGGCTAGCAGCACTGCTGGAGTTCGACCCAAGTGCAAGGACAAAAACAGCAATATACTTTTATGAAGAGCTTTGAGTGTGTTGGTTTATTTCCTTTTAATTCCGTTAAAATTGCATATATTTTGACAGATACGAGTATTTCGTCTACTACTTGCAGACTTCATCAGTGCCAAGTACTCAACACCACTGATCAAGATTGGATTGATCAAGAGCAATATACTGTTTGTTCACTGCTATGCGCACTGTTTGAACCTTGTACTTGTGGACGCAGTGTGCATTCGAAAGGAGAATGCGATTATTATTGGTCATTCATGTCGGTTTGTCGGTGCCATCACCACCATGTGACGTGACTTCAGCTGAATCTAACCACCAAGGCAACAACATTGCAGCAAATGTATCATTTCGGTTATTATTGCAACCATTTGACGAACCGATCATCGTCGACATCGTCGATGAGATTAAATTGCCAATTCCATTGGCTGTCTGAAAGCAGTTTGTATTGCAGAAGATGAACCACCACCGGAGCAAAAAATAAATAAAATTAGCTAAATGGAACAGTAGGGAAACAGTGGTGGATGGACAGCACCATCCACCAAGCACTTTGGAGTACTCCCCATCCTCAGATTAAATGCACCATAGAAAAAAATGCCCCTCCTTAACAAGATTCCTGTGCACGCTAGTGATAAAAGAACTATGAAAGTGATGATGGTATCAAAATTTTCCACAGTGAAGTATACGAATGCAATCTTAAAATGCAAACGGATCCATCCTTTTATTTAAATCTCGTTGCTGCTACAGTGGTAGAAAAGCTGAAATCTATGTATACACCTAAAATTCTGAAAAGATTACTACGTCTGTGATTTCTATATGGGGGTACACTTTGTGAAAACCAAAAATGGAACATGTAACAAAATTATGAAAGATTTGGACTGTTAATAACTCAGCTGCCCCTGAACCAATTTTAATAACTTTATCACCAATCGATCAGAGATATTTCTACGCATCGACGAGACTGTTGATTTTCATCAATAAACTATTGAAAAAGTGATAAATGTCCAGCATTGGCCAAAAGCGTTGAAATAACTAACAAATCCACCAATTACGCACATGTATATGCTGCTTCTCCAACACAGTCATCAGACAATCGTTTCTAGACGAAACATGTCGATGTAGCATTGCTGCTTCCCCAACACTGTCATCAGAGAGTCGTTAGTAGACGAAACAAGTCGAAGTGACATTCGCCTCCGATCTTCGGGCGTGTGCGAATAGGGAGGATGCAATTGCGTAACATTTTGCACACTCATCGCCATATTCAGAACCACACGCCCCCCAACAACCACACAAGATGCTCTCCAGAGTTGTAATCATGTAACCAAACTTGGAAGCAAGGGTGCAAGTGATTTTGATCGATTCTCTTCTTCGACTTTCTGTTTCGTTAATAACTCGACGGCAAACAATATAGGATTGTCCGGTCCGATTTGCTGATCCAGCTGCCTACACGTCATCATCACCTTCTAAAGGCTTTAAGCCTGTAATACCATAGAGGTAACTCTAAGACCAGAAGGTCCCGAAGAAACGTGCTCAACTTTTTGGCTCTGCTCTGGTACTCTCTTCGGTCCCAAGCTAATCGATACACCCCTCGAAACATAGAAAAATCCACGAACCCCTTATTTTATCTGTCAAACTTTCATAGCGAATCAAAACAAACATAGTGTAGTACTAGAATTTCGACTAGAATGGGGTACGTTAATCGATTTGCGTGGGACCAATAGGCTAGTCAAGTAGTGAGCCAATTTAAAATCGTTAGTTGCCACCGGTTAGTAATACCATCTGCCCTTTTTAGGGCCACCAAGATTTTCCAAAAGAGTTAAATTTCTGAACATGTCCCAACTTAAATTCTTATCAAAAGGTTCTTTTCAGGGCAATCATAGTCATACTAAAGAGTATAAACACCACGTAGTCCTACGTCGCCATTGCGTACAACCCCATAGGGCTGTCCCTAGTAGTTTTTTTTTTTCTATATTATATGCCTGTTGAGGGGGGGGGGGGGGTTATGATTTTGTGACAAGCAATGCATTAGGATTAGGAAAAACGTCACGAAAGGGGGGAAGGGGGTTAATTGTTCCTCAATTTAGCGTGACATAATAAATACTTGAAACCTTTGTGAGCGGAGGGGGGGGGCTCTGCTTCAGAACAATACACTGTCTTTCAGTTCTTCTGCTTTAAACGTGCCGAAATCAATATTTCTAATTCTAATGGTAATTCTGACTGCACGGTAGGTATTGAACATTTTTCAAGATTACTAAAAACCTGTGATTCTCGGTAGAAAAAGTGAAAAATCGGTAGTTTTTAACCTTTCGCCTGTGAATCGGTAGTCATCTCGGAAATCGGTAGGACTACCGATAAATCGGTAGGTCTGGCCACCCTGACCATTTTGATAACCACCGAAAATAGTTTTTATGTAGCTTCCATTGTAAACGCACATGAATTTCACATAATATTTATGCGATTACGTTAATTTTATATGATTTTACATATGAATTCCATCGGCCTAATATTATTCATGTGATTTTGTGGTGGGATTTGCAGCTATGTGATCACAGGAAAGCTATGTGAAATTCACATGGATTTCATCCATTAGACATGTGATAATTTTTTTGAGTGACTGAAGAGCAAATTAATGTCAAAATCAAAATAGAGGCATCATTCTGCACGCACACACCCTCGCACACACCTACAAAATTAGGGTGGTTCAGGTTTTTTAAATGCTTGATTAAAAGAAATGCGTCAAGTTTAAGTCGACCTAGTGGTGCCGGTGGTGCAGTGGTAAGCGTGATTACCTCTCACCCCAGCAGGCCTGGGTTCAATCCCAGTCGGCGCCGCCGGGATGTTCTGAGGCATAACCACCCCTATTCTGTATTTCGTTTCGAACGAAATACTCATACAAAAAAATATTTTTTTTGTATGAGAATTTCGTTCGAAACGAAATACAGAATAGGGGTGAACATCTCTGATCACGCCTAGGGAAGTAAAGCCGTTGGTCCCCGGTTCATTATTTGATGGGTCGATAGGTAGGGTCCAGGTGTGGGAGCTGCCATTATTGGTGCTCAGCACGGAAAACAAGATCGACGGAAAACAAATCTAGAAAAAAAAGTTTAAGTCGACCAAATTTTGATGTAAAACGCTGTACAAGAGGCCTGATTGTATTGGTTTTAAGATTCATTCTAGCTTCTATTTTTGCAGCTCCGAAACCAACTTGAGCAGTTCCGAATTCATTGTTCATATTTATCTGAGCAATCAGGTGGTTTCTGCGAATAGGAGGATAGTTGTAGTCTCATGGATTTCACTTTTGGGTGTGTAAAAATATTGATTATTACATAAAAACGGACTTCTGACGGCTATTTTTTTTGCAGCGAACCTGGGAGGAGTGTTCAGCTTGTGCCTGGGAGTGAGCATAATATCACTTTTCGAAGTCCTGTTCTACATATTTTTTCGGATCTACAGGATCAAGCAAAGGTTGGAAATGCAGGTGAAGGACAATCAGGTGAAGTTAGTGCAACCGATGGTAGCCTTGCAGAAATTTTCGACCCGATTAGAAAAAGTGAACCAGTAGTTTCGGCATTGATTCAAACTTGTTTTTTTTATATAAAAATAGACAATAGTTTATGTTTATTAGAACAATCCAGCATCATCTAGTGAGACACTTCTACATAATGTATGTAAAATATCTCATTCACCTTAACAGCTTATCTTCACAACTACCCCGACACGGATAGTGAACATATGTTTGCACTTAAATTAAGCATCACATAACGCGCCACAATAAACTGCTACCTATCAACTAGTTTTTTTTTTCTCTCCTCAAGGCATCAAGAAAACCAAATTATGCACAAATAAAATCTTTGGGTTTATCCCGCTACTCGTCAACCACAATTCAAACAACTTCATCACCAACAAATTATAATAAGCAACCTAGCTAACTGACAATCCTCTATGGTTCATCATTTTATTTGGTCTCTGCTCAAAATCCAATCTTTTTGAATAAAAAGTTGAATCGTCGCTTAATAGTGAGGCCTTTGGTTTTGCGTATCCAATTGAGCAACAGTAACAACAGCAGCACTCCGGACACCGTAAGGAACCAATTAGAGGACGGCATAAAACTCGAGTCGCCACCGCGTCTCAGAGCATAATCGCCTCCCCCATACAAATCACTCTGATCGGCATCGATATTCGGCGGTTGCTGTTGTTGTTTCTTAAGATGTTGTTGTTGTTGCTGTTGCTGTTCTTGTGGTTGGCTTTGGCCAGCCTTTCGAGCATCAATGACAGGCACATTTACGCCAATCGAAGCTACCGATGGATGGCCAACCGGTGGATTAATGAAGCTTTTCGGAGCGTTCGGTGGGATTTTGTCAGTTTTCTTGTTTCGCCAGCCCGGTACGTCTGGTTCATCGTTGGCGCTGATTATGGTTGCTGTAAGAATAAAATAAAGGGCAAGGTTAGAAAAAGTAACGATAATCTTATAAATATGTTCGGTAGTTATGTTATGAATTTGATCAATGGATTCATATTTAGTAAATGTAATATATTTACAGCGTCAATTTTACATGCGACGGGCTTAGAATCTACTCGGAAATAAAATGTATCGATTTGCATAGAAAACACTGACATAATTGGTTAAATCTACTTTAAGAAACTATATCTGAAAGGACTTTATACTGCCGATACTCGGATAATTGTCCCATCTTTGCTTGATTTCTTATTCATATGGGACATTTATGCTTTTATGGGCAGTATAATAGCACTAGCTCAAATGTAACACTTGACTAAATTCCAGTAACAGAACTAATGTGTTACCTGACTCATATATACGTTAGGATGGGTCATCATGATCATTTTTTCAGAACAATGTTTTTTTGGTTTGCCGGTTTTTGCATGAAGCCAATCGAAATTTCGAAAAGGAATCAGCACTGTTAGAAGTGGCGTTTGGCTTGGGAGCCCAACTGAAACATAGCCCACTTTAAAGTTAGCCGAACAAGCGAAATCCGACTGTACTTGTGTCTGAGACGAAACTGGTGAAGACAGTTTTCGTTTTCTCTTGTTTTTGGTTCTTGACGTACGACTAATTCTGTGTTGTCTATATGCGGGTGGCTCGAATGGCAGTTTAGTATTTCAAATAAAAGCTTTGTATAGAAATGTAAAATTTTCCAGCTGCTAATAATTCAAACAACGGCGCCGGTGGTGTAGTGGTAAGCGTGATTACCTCTCACCCCAGCAGGCCTGGGTTCAATCCCAGTCGGCGCGCCGGGATGCTCTGAGGCATAACATCTCTGATCACGCCTTCCTTCGGATGGGAAGTAAAGCCGTTGGTCCCCGGTTCATGAGTTGATGGGTCGATAGGTAGGGTCCAGGTGTGGGAGCTGCCTTCCTGGCACGTCGGTAGCATTGGTGCTCAGCACGGAAAACAAGATCGACGGAAAAAACAAACCAAAGGAAAAAAAAATAATAGTTCAAAACAACATCTCCTCACTAACAAACAAACCCCTTCCCCACCCCGCTGTCCAAGAACGCTTATGAAATTGAGCAAATGTTTTTGAATAATTCATCCTGAACATACGAAATCGATAAAATAAGAAACTCCGAAGTTATTTCAAACTGAAACTATTGATTGGGATTGTCCTTCTCTATTGTTGTTGTTGTTGTTGTTGTTGGATTTTGTTGTTTGATGGCTCGAGGATCGGTGCCTCATATCCGCCAGTGACATTGTCCTTCTCTGCCACAACGGTATTCCTCTATTGTCGTTTTCGTTTTTGCGGTGTAGCACTGGTGTAGTGTAGGCAGGAATAAGCGCGAGTCTTTGACAGCTCATCATCATTTTTTTGTAAACAAAGGTGCATCCTATATCTACACCCTAAAATATTTCGGTGTACGGCAGTGTAGCTACACCGCAAAAACGAAAACGACATAATTTTGTTTCACCGCATGTGTGGATGTCAAACAACATGCAAGAACGCCATATGAAAAGAGCGAAACGATTTTCGAGGTTAAATGAAATAAATCCAAATGAATTGATCCGATTGATGGTGGTTCGTTTTCTTTCATAATAGAATGCCACTACAATTTAAGACCTTCGACAGATGCACAAAGAACACCGTTGTCAACCGGTGCAAACTAACGATTTTAAATTGTCTCACTACTTGACTAGCTTACTGGTTCCAAGCAAATCGATTAACAAATTATAGCCGAAATTCTATTACTACACTATGTTTGTTTTGATTCGCTATGAAAGTTTGACAGATAAAATGAGGGGTTAGTGGATTTTCCTATGTTTCGAGAGGTGCATCGATTAGCTTGGGACCGAAGATAGTACCAGAGCTTAACCAAAAAGTTTAGGACGTTTCTTCGGGACCTTCTGGTTTAAGAGTTACCTTTATGGTTGTACTAACATTGTACTAATTTATGCTAGTACCTCAAATAGTACATTTTGCAGTACTAGCAGCTTATAATTAGAACGCTCGTACTCGCTGCAAAAGCATTATTTATCTGTTCATCATCGACGATTATAGTAAGGGGCTGTTCATTAACTACGTAGACACTTTTTATTGGATCCTTGACCTCCCCCTCTCCCAGCGTAGACAATTCTCCATACAAAAAAAAATTGTATAGGCCGTGGATAATTGCCAACCGTAGTTTATGAACAACCCCTTATAATATAGAAAATACTGAAAGTATTCTCGCTCAATTCTCATTTGTTTCGATTAATTCGATGACAATTATATTTTTTGTTTTACAAACCACATGTTGCATTTGTTTCTGTACTGCTCAAAAACATGCGAGGTTACACAAAAAAAGTTTCATAAACGATTATGAATTATGATTATGTGCATATGACTGAACATAAAAACGAAATTTTTCGCTGGCATCACTGGCTTTCCTATGTCACTAATGTTAATTTTGACGTCGGACGTTACGTGTCCCACACGCGAGTCCCGTTTTGTTAGACACGCGACAATAAGATGAATTTTAGACTAAAATTTTATTTACTGTACATCATTTCCACATTCGCCCTATTCAGATAACACTTCTGAAATTCGTGAGTTTGACAGAACCACCAGCACCAAATTTTCGGGGTACCTTGCCTTGCCTTGAAAAGAGCTAACATCGCTGCGGGCCCGCGAATTGTGGGCCCCACTGACAGCTCATAATTTGTAAACAAATAGAAGATTCAAGCCAGAATTTCAAAAAAGGCGTGACTGATATTATGAATATTCTCAATATTTTTGCTTACATTTTGTGAAAAATAAACTTAGGACTCATAAAATATTATTTTCTGATTTTCTACCACGAAGTCAATCATTTATATGGCATAAAAGGGAAAATAATTTTATTTGATAATTTTACATGAGTCACGCCATTTTTGCAGTTCACACTGGAATTGTGACGTTTCAGATGTTGGTTTCAATAACATGGCGGCATGTCACCCAGCTGCAGGAAATATACTGCAGTTGTCAAGTTGCCCCCGAGCTGATTTAAACCAACAATTGGGTTCTTTAAGGGTATCGAGGTAAATGCATATTCGTAATCTTCATTAAAAATGGAACCCAAACCCAAAATATCATCAATTTTGCAAAAATCACCTTATTAGCACCCCTCGGTGTTACTTTGTATGGGAGCGAGCTGTCAGTTTGTCAGTTTAGTGTCAAACAGTGAAGTTATTATTTTGCTTTAAATCTTGATTTTTAAAATCGAGATGAAAGTGTGTGGGTTCGAAAAAAATATCGCTCTGCTCAGAAAACGAAGCTCTTTCAGATCGTACATAAAAACCGATGTATTTTTCAAAATTAAAGAACCCAATTGAAATAGGCGGAACAACCAAACGTAAACAATGGGTTTAAATGCAAATTCCTTGATAATCAAAGCACATCCAAGCAATCTAACAACGTCATCTGATAGAGCAGACTTCCTTTATCGAATGGCGTTGTTAATTTGCGTGGGAGTCTTTTGATTCTTGAGAATTTTGTGTTTAAAGCCATTGTTTACGTTTGGTTGTTCCGCCTATTTCAATTGTTGGTCTAGATATACGACTTATAAGCATGGGAAAATCGTTTCATTTTGTATTTACTACTCACTCACACGCATACAACATCAGAAACTAACAGCAGCTTGTGCTTCTATTTTCTTCGATGAAGCAGAATTATTGAGCAAAACAGACTGAGCGTAACATGAATGATTCTGAGTGTAGTAGTGTGGAAGATTCCTCTTTTATTATTTTTCCCATGCTGAGTCTTTTACGATTGCATTCTGCTGAGTGAGCTGAATGAGAATTTATCAGAAAGAAACACTTTTTATTTTCTACCTTTAACCATACATTGACACATTTAAATTGCTATTAATATAGAGAAAACTGTTAAACTGTAACACATAAACGTCACGCAAATACCGTAAAACTGCTGTGCAGGGCTGTCAAAAATAAATCTGTGTTTTTGCTCAAAAAAATCTTTTCATCTTAGTTTTTGTCCAGAAAATCTGTGATGATATCTGTGATAATAATTTAAAAATTTCAATTGCAAAGTGATTGAGCCTTTTTCTGATAGAGACAAAAAAATAGATAACAATATATGTATCTTATATTGTTTATGGTTTAATAAGCAATTTCTCTGACAGTTCTCATTCTCCTTTTTAATTCCACAATAAAAAAACTGCTTAGATGTATAAGTTGGTGATGGTAAAATAAGTGAAAATAATGTTTTGTTTTTGAACATCTCAAGTTTTTTTTTATGTTGGATCAAATTTTAAAATTCTGTGTAAACTGTTTAAATCCTAAAAATCTGTAATCTGTGAATACAGATTCTTTGTTTTAAAAAGTCTGAAAAATCTGTAGAAATACAGAATTATCTGTAGTTTTGGTAACCCTGCTGCTGTGGCCAATTCAACTGATTTAAATCGGTGAACCAAAAACTATCTGACTCGGCTATTTAAATCGTCAGCATTCGAATTTTTCGCATTCTATCTGGTTCTCCCTCGGTAGAGAAAATTGTTCGGGTGTCTTTCAGTTTATCCTTCTTTCCTTCTACTGCTGTCAGTTCTGAGTCGGCCTGCAGAGTCACTTGGTTGGAAGACACTCGTTCGGCAATCTTTTTGTAGGTGAGGATAGCTATTTTGATTCTGTTGTGCTCGCGCGAGTAAATGAATTTTCCCATGCTTGATAACAAATTCAATTCGAAAAGTCTTGCAGTCTCAATATATTCCGATTTCATTTGTGATACAGTACGATGAAAAAATGATTCTTCGCATATAATAGTACGTTCAGACTACAAAGTTATAACATGTTATAGCGCTATCTTGATGGTGGTTTCTGTGTTGCAATTATTTGACAACCGTCGGCATAAGTCGGAAATTGGAATTGCATGTCATTCTTATATGCGATGTTGACTTATGCAATAGCAATTCACAATACCGTCCGATACCGAAAAAAAATATAAAAAAAATAATAAAACAAAATAGTAGTCTACAAAGGTTTGAGCCTAGCGCGCGTATTACGGATATAGAAGACTAAATTTAACATTTGAAAAAACAAATGCAATTTTGAAGCTTATTTGGAAGATACCTTGAGTCAGTAGTAACTTTTCTGGCAAATATTGGGGGTTCGTGAGCATTCCTGACATTGTTGAAAATTATGATAGCATCAGATTGCGGGGTTGCTAGTGTAATAGGATGCTTTGTTGATTGTTCATTAACTCTTGATCGCTTGTAATACTTATGAATATTTTAGGTGGACAAAAAGGCGAACTAAGACGTGGACGCCTAAGCTTTTTCACATTTATATCGCTGTGAAGCAACTGTAAACTCTAGAGGGAATTTATATCTGTAAATGTAACCAGCTCGTTTTTTTGCTAACCTGGTAAAATGTTTACATTTAATTATCTTAAAGATAAATCGTCCAGCTCAAACCTTTATAGGGGTAAGAGGTGGGACCATCATCATCATCTTTCTTTCTGTACATTGTTATACGACTTCTGGTTGTCTGGGTAATGGTACGTTCAGACTACAGAGTTATAACATGTTTTAGCGCTATCTTGATGGTGGATTCTGTGTTGCAATTATTTGACAACCGTTATAACAATGTTATGTTACACGCAGACAAAAGAACGTAAGAATTCCATAAGAAACACTTAAGAAATTTAACCATAAGAAATGAGTATGAATTTCATTGATTTGCCTTATAAAAAATAATGCTGACAAAAAAATAATAAAACGGAGCAGACTGGAACCGGAAAATGGACGTTGAGGTTAAGGGCCCGTGTGTTTACCAATCGTCTTTCAACGCTTAGGAAAATGAAATAGTTAAAGGCGCATAAGAGCTACCTCATGTTACCCGAAAATCATTCATAAGTCACGCTTATGAAATTCATATGTGTTGTTCATAAGTTGAGCCTTATGTAATTATTAAGTCTATTTACCTCAGTGTATAACTCTCCAGTCTGGCCAGCATTTAAGCAAGTTTTTCACAATACTATGGAGCCGCATGGTTAGCCATATATGCACGACCGTTAAATCCGACTTATTTTTGACAAAAAAACGCAGGTCACTTATAGACTGAGTAAATTTTCCTCGATCTCAAAAAAATATATAAAATTGAACAAAATTTTAATCAATCTATGGATATACTCGTAGACTGAGTACCTAATGTTTCCTCTTTCTCTTAACCAGGCAGATATTTAAGAAAAATCAAAGAAAATTCTACCTAGAATATGAGTGACCTATGTAGGGGAAATGTCTCTAATGTTGACCTATGGATCTAAGATTAGGCCCATCGCTAAAAATCTGCTCAATTATCAATTTTATCTAGATGAACGCGTTATTGGGTCGTTACTAATGGATATTTTTGGTTGCTATTGGAAATTTATTCGACTGCTGAATTTTTGTATGGGCCCAAATTAGGGACACTTAGGCCGACATTACCTGTACTTCCCCTATTAGCGAATTTTAGTAAACGGATGTCAAATTTGAGTGCGATTTATCCGTTATAAGGATGCTCGTATTTTACATCGTGAAAAATCATGACTAGGTAAAATATTTTAACGAAAAGTACCTAAATTCCATAGACGAGGTTTCGTAGAAATAGGCGAATTGGCACGGGCCTTTGACAGTAGTGTTCGTTTTTTGTTGTATTAAAATTTTGCTACACATTCGGAAATTCCCATAATAATGATGGTCAAGTGTTAGACTAGCGCATCGCATGCAATTCAAATCGAACCAACCAAATCCAAACAAAAACTACATACCTCACCTTTTTGGCTTTCAAGCTTTCGAAACAGATTAACACTGTTGTCGATTTCGTTACCAAACAGTTGTCCCTGTTGGGCTTGCTGTTGCTGTAGCTGTAATTCTTGCTGTTGCTGTAATAGCAGTCGCTCGTTCAACCCGTATCCACTCAGAGAGGACATATTCAACGAAATCGGTTGTTCCCACTTTAGTAGCTGGCAGCGTGGTAGTGGGCGCTTTTCATTACCAGGTCCCAAGACCTTGGAGTACAGATGCAGATTGTTGTTTGCTAACCGAGCGGGTGGTTTGGAATCTGCAACCAAAAACGAATAAATTTAATATGATTGTCCATAACTTTTAATGAATATAATCGCACGTACCACTAAGCATCTCACTGTTTCGGGTGCTGTTCAGATCTCGCAGCAGGTTGCTGACATGCGACGTCATCGTGTACTCCAGCAGTGAATCTAACAACCAAAAGCACGGCTTATCCAGATGCGTTGAATCGAGACAGTTCGAATCACCGTACACGGCAATTCGACCGCCCACTTTCCTACTGTCCTTCCCACTTGCCGCGCTGTCGTTGGTCTTGGCCAACTTTGTCTGTTCTGGCTGTAGCTTGAGTAGCGTTTGAGGCACTTCTACCATTATTATTTTTTCACCAGTAAAGTTATGCTTCTTTTCCAGTAGCAACTGACTGATCTCTTCGGGGTGCTGAATTTTCTTGATGTCGTCTTGTTCTTCGTCTTCTTGATTTTTCAAAGCATCGAAATCCGGATTTCCAATCGCGTTCGATTCTATGTCTTGACGTTGTTCCCCTCCTTCGTTAGGTACATCATCGTCGTCTGCGAATGATTTAGCGTTAAGTAGAATTCGTTTATTGATAATTGAATCCCGATCGATTTGGCGTTCTTCGCTACGATCAGCATCCATTTCTAAATGAAAGCTATTAATCGGGTCTGGATTCGGTGTGGCAGGTTGAACTTTAGAATAACTATGGTCAGTTTGTAGCAGTCCAAGCACAGCCGTTTTGGCTCTAGTTTTCTGTCTTTTTTCATCCGGCGAAAGGATGTCCAGACCTTGATCGAACAAGTCTCTTTCGATCAAAATTGTATTGTTTCCGGTTGGAAATTTAAGGATGTTACTTCCTGAAGCATAATACATGCGGTGATCTCGCATATCAAAATATCCTTCAGATACTTTGTCTCCCAATACAATGTCGAAATCTCGAAGCAATTCGTTCAAGGCGGGAATATTTGCCCCTCCCGTGTCAGGCATCCACCACTGCCGGGTGTTCTCGTCGTAGAATTTGATCTTTCTCATAACGGTTGTGTTGTACCAGTCAGCAAACACAATCACGCTTAAATCTCGTTCCAAAATATCATTCTTCAGCTTAATGATCTCTTCGTGGAAATATTCCTCTTCTGGATCGACTAGCAGCAGAGTTCCATAGTAACTGGCATTGAAGCAGGTGTAAGGACCTCCGAGAACTTCCACGTAATAGCCAGCATTTCTTAGATGAGTATACATATCTTTGAAGTTCGTGTGGATGTGATCGGCTCGCCAGTCGAGAGGATCAGATTTGATTTTAAGATTGTCCCTTGGTAAATACCCCGGCGGATATCGTAAACTGTGATACTGGTCCCACAGGATCCGTTTGTGCCTCGGTGGTTGCGGAATGATTTTCACTTTGATCGGAAAACTGACCGTTCCGTTCCGAGGTTCATTCTCCCCTGGACCAGCGGGACTTTGAACGGTCAACGTGATATGACCTTGGGCCAGTCCTTCGAAGCTACGACCCAACTCGTTAACACCGATGTGAATCGCCATCCAGCCAGACCAAGGCCAAAGCTGTTCCGAATGTGATATTGAAATGTTCAACATCTGTCCGTTTTCATTGGTGTAAGGATGCCATGTTGGATTGTTGATTACTTTACCGATAACTCCCATCCCATTGAGAATCGTAACATTCGCTATAACCGGTGCGCTAGTGTAGAACAAACTTTGCGTCGTATAAGGCCACATGTAATCTTCAGTAAAATCCAGATAAGCAGGAGACAGTGTGACTTTCGGTTTATACGTCGAAAGAATCTTCATGCTCTTGAGGATGTTCAATTTACCATGACCCTGCTCAAACATATTGTTCTCCGTAAGTCGTTGAGCACCTTCGATTAATGCCTGCTTCATCGAGGCGGGATTTACAATATCAAATCGGTTGATAACCCCACTTGCCAGCAGGGTAACAGCTCCGGCCACAACTGGCGAGGCTACAGAAGTTCCCGAAAGCGATTTACATCCTCCATTAAGATTACTCCCTTTTACCTGACTTCCATAGGTTACAATATCTGGCTTCAAGCGACCATAGCCATTAGGAAGTTCCCAAGTTGTCATCCCACGCGAACTAAACTTTGCAATATTATCATTGTAATCCATTCCACCAACACCGATCACGTCCATCTGATCGCCAGGGTTGTTCAACGTTCCATAAAGTGGACCATCATTTCCAATTGCTGATACCATAATCACTTTGTTAGCAGACAATTCTAACACTTTATCCACAAATGGCTGGTCCAAGAAATCCGGCCCTCCAATGCTAAGATTGAGCACGTTGATCTTCTTCAAAATCGCATAATTAAATGCATCCAAGAACCACGACGTATAGGAAACCTGATTATTGGTAAACACTCGGAAAATGTGCAACTCTGAATCTGGAGCGAAACCAAGGCATTCTTTTGACGAAGCAATAATACCAGCAACAAATGTGCCATGACTGACTCCGTCATCAAGAGTTTTCTCGTTGGTCCAATTAGTCCTCTCCTTCACCGATTTAAAATGCGGATGGTTCTTCGACAGGCCGGTATCAAAAACTGCTACCTTTACGCCTTTTCCAGTGATTCCCATTCCCCACAGAACGTCCCCTTTTAGCAGCGAAGTTATCTGCCTCGGTATGGCCCTGAGCAAGCGACGATTCGTGTGCCTATTGACGGAACCAACTGGCGGAACGATCTGCTGGTGTGACTCCGCTCTACTATCGTTCAATTCGTTCACGTCAGTTGATAGTTTCCTTTTGAAATTTTTGAACTTTTCGATAAACTCCACTAGTTCCTCATCCTCGTCTTCTTCCAAAGCATTTTCCATTTCATCATCATCTTCGACGACGAATTCGTCATTCTTCTCCCGATCACTGCTAGTCACTTCAATCGGAACATACTTCAATGTTCGGTGAACCATCCGTTGTGGCGAAATTGACTTGATCGAGGGGTGCGACCTTAGCAAATCTATACCATCGGTTTGCGATTCAGCATCCTCCTCCAGGGTGAGGACATCGAAGTCACTCGGGAAGTCACTCACCGGATTCGATCGCGGCAAGATGCGCCAATTTTTCACCTGAAAAAAAAAATAGGAATGTATCCATATGATATGCTATTGCAAAGTTTTGAGCAATAAATTTTAACAAATTAACAGTTGCGAAAAAGTATATGTTACATGGGAGATCAAATTATCTTGTGAAAATTTCGGGCTGACGGTTGAAAAATTAATCTTGAGTGTATATAAGGAGAGAATAATAGGGAAAATACACCTATAGTGTATAGTGTATGCCCCTCTTAACAGAGAAGCATTTCTCTTAAAATCTTACTGCATATAGTACGTTCAGACTACAGAGTTATAACATGTTATAGCGCTATCTTGATGGTGGTTTCTGTGTTGCAATTATTTGACAACCGTTATAACATGTTATAACTCTCCAGTCTGGACAGCGTTATAGACTGCAGGACAAACAACAAGTGTTTCTGTATATCGTATTCATCCTGGAAACCAAATCAACAATACCTTATTAGACCGTTTTAGAATCTTCGTTATCATACATAAAAGAGTGGAGGAACGTTAGTTCAATGTAATCCTATAGTAGCTTATGGAGACACCATAAGCCACTATAGGAACTCATTGTACTAACGTAAAGGGCGAACACGAAATTATTGCGACACATTCAACAGGGCATAACTCTTTTACCATTGGGTAAAAATCAACCAAATTTTGCACACTTTCTCATTGATGTGTATTGTGTACATGCTGTCAAACTCGAAGTCGTGTTTTTCGATTCAACGAAAATGGAGGTGAACCAACGCGAGTTGAGAGAACAAATTCTTTCCAAACACCTGGAATTTCCTGACCTGTCGTACCGACAGTTGGGAAAAATGTTGAACATTCACCATTCAACCGTCTCCAGAGTGTTGAAGCGGTTCCAGGAGCGGTTGACGTTGGACCACGACAAAGGAGCTGGAAGAAAACCGGGACCGGAGAACAAAAAGACGGAGGGAAAGGTGAAGCGGATGATTAAAGCAAATCCCAACGTCTCAAGCCGTGATTTGGTTACAAAGATCGGCATGTCGCAGAGCTACGTCCAGAATGCAAAGAAGAGAGCTGGACTACATACATACAAGGTACAGAACTTCCCAAACCGCGATGAGCGGCAACAATCGACGGCTAAAACTCGGGCACGGAAGCTCTACGAGAAGATGCTGACAAAATATGACTGCTGTGTGATGGACGACGAAACGTATATAAATGCCGATTTTAAGCAAATTCCGGGGTTGGAGTTTTTCACCGGCAAGAGCAAGTTCGATGTGGACGACAAATTTAAGAAGAAGAAAATGTCGAAGTTCACCTCCAAATATCTCATTTGGCAGGCCATCTGCTCTTGCGGACTGAGGAGTGAGCCTTTCGTGACAAAGGGCACAGTAAATGGCGAGATCTACAAATCTGAGTGCCTCGAAAAGCGCCTTTTGCCGTTCTTGCAGCAGCACGACGAAGCTCCGCTATTTTGGCCAGATTTGGCATCATGCCACTATTCTAAAAGTGTCCTGGAGTGGTATGAGGCCAATTCTGTCCATTTTGTTCCAAAGGACATGAATCCGCCAAACTGTCCGGAGCTGCGCCCGGTGGAACAGTACTGAGCAATAATGAAGCGGGAACTTCGGAAGAGCAAGAAGACAGTCAAAGACGAGAAGGACATATTAAGAAAATGGAAAAAAAAACTGAGAAACTGGTACCGGATGACACTGTAAAGACTTTGATGGAAGAAATGATGGGATTATGAAACATGTCATGCAAAATTCCATATATTGTATGCAACTTTCCACCTTTGTTTGCAACATTTCTTGCAAGCTGCTAGTTTACGTGAAAAGGAAGTTTACATGCATGAATGTTTGCATGCATGGATGTTTACATCACCAGTAAAATTCAGATTTTTTTAGTGTGTATGTATAAAACTACCCTAAAATTTTGGTTTGATTCTAAACAGTATAAGAAAATTGGCATGACATTTTCGGTGTCGCAATAATTTCGTATTCGCCCTTTACCTTCACAATAGGTGCGTTTATACCCTATAAAGACTGTAAAGGGTGTATTCGATAAAAAAATGGCACACCGAAAATCTTCTTTAACTTTTGAACCGTACGAGTAAAAAACTTGAAAGTTTTAGTAAATCTTATTCAAAGTGTATTTTTTTACATCTGCCAAGTTTCATAGTTATTCATACAGTAGTTCCAGTCATGTCGTCGAAACAAGAAATTGTTCGTGAAAAAATCCAGAGGCGTCGCACTGATGGATCGCTAAAAAGCTTGGAATTGCAAATATAACCGTGACTCAGTTCAAGAACCGTCCAAACATGTCAATTCGAGATGTTGCTAAAAAGTCCAAGGTGTCTGTCGGTTTTGTGCAGACAACCATGAAGCGTACTTGGTTACATGATTACAAAGTGCAAAACATCGCTGCGAACACCCGCGCCCGGAAACTTTACACGAAGTTGCTCACCAAATCGTGTTCATCGTGATGGATGACGAAACTTACGTCAAGCGCCTGGGCAAGAATATTTCGGATGTTCCGGAGGATGTTCGAAAGACGAAATTATCGAAATTTGCAAAGAAGTTCCTGATCTGGCAGGCAATTTGCGGATGTGATGAAATAAGCGCTCCCTTCATCACTTCCGGAACATTTACACAGAAGAGTGTCTTAAGAAGCGTCTCTTGCCATTCATAAGGGAGCACAAAGGATCAACTCTGTTTTGGCCTGATCTAGCATCCTGCCACTACGCTCGAAACGTGTTGGAGTGGTACCGAGTCAATGGATCATATCATTCGAGCAGTTTAAAATGACGTTTCCTACCACTCGAACTTTAACGTGGAACAATATTTTGATAGTTTTTCTTTTAAAACCTCGAGAAAATAGGGTCTTATTTGTGATATGCTTGAAAAATCTGGAATTTATTGTTTCATTTCCGTAAAATCGCTGGTAGAAGGTCGTCTCAAAACTGCTCGACAATATGATTAATGTTGTGCCAAAAGATATGCACTCACCAAATTCACCGGAACTTCGCCCAATTGTAAAATTCTGGGCAATTTTGAAAACGGGACTTCGCAAACATCCCAAAACTATTAAAACAGAGCTGGAGTTGAAGATAATTTGGGTAAAAACAACAAAACACTGGGTAAATCGGTTGTACAAAATTTGATGGGTGGAGTGAACAGGAAGGTGCGGGCATTCGGGATGGGAGACGAAATAGAATAAAACAAATTTTGTAAATCATAACTCATTAGTAGTTTTTCATTCCATGAAAATTTCAAGAAAATCCGATAATCGGTTTAATTTCGGTGAGTAAATAAAGGGCGAACACGAAATTATTGCGACACCGAAAATGTCATGTCAATTTTCTTATAATGTTTAGAATCAAACCAAAATTTTAGGGTAGTTTTATACATATATTTACTTCAAAAATCTCCGCTTCGCCAACACAAGTGCTGGATGCTGCTGTTGGGATGCCACGTGATGTGTTTAGTTTCGTTATTCCGCGCATTTCAGAAGACATGGTGATAGCCGCAACACGCAGACTGAAGCTATCGTTCGCCTCCGGACCTGACGGCATTCCGTCATCAGTTCTAAAACGTTGTGTAGCCAATCTCTGCCTTCCACTAGCGAGGCTATTCAATCTCTCGGCACAGCAATGTGAGTTCCCCTGCCGCTGGAAACTTTCTTATCTGTTCCCAGTGCACAAAAAAGGAGATAAACGGAATGTCATAAATTATCGTGGAATCACCTCCCTGTGTGCCTGCTCAAAACTGTTCGAGATTATCATAAATGATGCTCTGTTCGCACGCTGCAAACATTATATCGATACAGAACAACACGGTTTCTACCCGAAGCGCTCCGTGTTCACGAACCTGGTGCAGTTCACTTCTAACTGTCTGCGATGCATGGATTCAGGATGGCAAGTCGATACTGCGTATATGGATCTAAAAGCTGCATTTGACACGGTGGACCATAATATCCTGCTGGCCAAGCTGGAGATACTTGGCATCTCGTCAACTGCTGTGAATTGGTTCAGATCTTACTTGGTGAATCGCTATGTACATGTCAAGATTGGCGCGTCGGAATCGGATGTTTTCTCAAACAACTCGGGAGTCCCGCAAGGCAGTAACCTAGGACCGCTACTATTTTCGATCTTTTTAAACGATGTCGCCTTGCTGATACCATTTGGATGCCGCGTTTTCTATGCAGACGATACGAAAATCTACAAAATTATTAAAAGCCTCTCGGACTGCTGGGATCTCCAGAATATGTTAGGTGTTTTTGCTGACTGGTGCTCAAGAAATTTGATGAGTCTAAGCATAGAAAAATGTAACATTATTTCATATCACCGAAAAATTGAACCAATCATGTTTGACTATGTTCTCTACGGACGCTGTCTTGCTCGTGTAGAGCACATAAAGGATCTCGGCGTTACCTTGGACTGCAGACTCACTTTCAGAATCCACTACAATGACATCATCTCCAGAGCTAATCGACAATTGGGCTTCATTTTCAAAATTGCCGACGAGTTTCGTGACCCGCTATGTCTCAGGTCACTTTACTGCTTGCTTGTGCGATCCTTATTGGAGTCAAGTTCAGTTGTTTGGTGCCCTTTCCATGCTAGCTGGATCACTAGAATTGAATCCGTTCAACGCAAGTTTGTGAGATATGCTCTTCGTTTCCTCAACTGGCGTGACCCAACGAACTTGCCACCGTACGAGGAGCGTTGCTGTCTCCTGGGAATCGAGCCATTAGAGGTGAGACGGACGGTCGCTCAAGCTATGTTCGCTGGAAAGCTGCTTACAGGTGACATTGACTGCCCAACACTGCTGTCACAACTAAATATGTATGCCCCTGAGAGGTCTCTTCGTCAACGCGACTTTCTGTTTTTGGAACCACGGAGCCGGAATTATACACAACACGAGCCAATTCGAGCAATCAGCCGGCAATTCAACAACTTTTTTTATATGTTCGACTTCAATGTATCAACTGACGTGTTTCGTCATTGGCTACTTGGCCTTTTCCGTACCGTTGACCGTAACTATTTAGTTTAAGTTTTATTCATTTAGACAGTATTTGTCAGTTGAATTTTTCAACAAACAATAAACAATAAACAATAAAAATCAAAAGAAAAGTTAATCGATGGAGCCTTGAGTGTAAAATTGAACGCATTTTCGCTTGATGCCTTCCATCAAAGTCTTTACAGTGTCATCCGGTACCAGTTTCTCAGTTTTTTTTCTCCATTTTCTTAATATGTCCTTCTCGTCTTTGACTGTCTTCTTGCTCTTCCGAAGTTCCCGCTTCATTATTGCACAGTACTGCTCCACCGGGCGCAGCTCCGGACAGTTTGGCGGATTCATGTCCTTTGGAACAAAATGGACAGAATTGGCCTCATACCACTCCAGGACACTTTTAGAATAGTGGCATGATGCCAAATCTGGCCAAAATAGCGGAGCTTCGTCGTGCTGCTGCAAGAACGGCAAAAGGCGCTTCTCCAGGCACTCAGATTTGTAGATCTCGCCATTTACTGTGCCCTTTGTCACGAAAGGCTCACTCCTCAGTCCGCAAGAGCAGATGGACTGCCAAATGAGATATTTGGAGGCGAACTTCGACATTTTCTTCTTCTTAAATTTGTCGTCCACATCGAACTTGCTCTTGCCGGTGAAAAACTCCAACCCCGGAATTTGCTTAAAATCGGCTTTTATATATGTTTCGTCGTCCATCACACAGCAGTCATATTTTGTCAGCATCTTCTCGTAGAGCTTCCGTGCCCGAGTTTTAGCCGTCGATTGTTGCCGCTCATCGCGGTTTGGGAAGTTCTGTACCTTGTATGTATGTAGTCCAGCTCTCTTCTTTGCATTCTGGACGTAGCTCTACGACATACCGATCTTTTTAGCCAAATCACGGCGTTGACGTTGGGATTCGCTTTAATCATCCGCTTCACCTTTCCCTCCGTCTTTTTGTTCTCCGGTCCCGGTTTTCTTCCAGCTCCTTTGCCGTGGTCCAACGTCAACCGCTCCTGGAACCGCTTCAACACTCTGGAGACGGTTGAATAGTGAATGTTCAACATTTTTCCCAACTGCCGGTGCGACAGGTCAGGAAATTCCAGGTGTTTGGAAAGAATTTGTTCTCTCAACTCACGTTGGTTCACCTCCATTTTCGTTGAATCGAAAAACACAACTTCGAGTTTGACAGCATGTACACAATACACATCAATGAGAAAGTGTGCAAAATTTGGTTGATTTTTACCCAATGGTAAAAGAGTTATGCCCTGTTGAATGTGTCGCAATAATTTCGTGTTCGCCCTTTACGTGTGTGCCATTTTTATCGAATACACCCTTTGCTCGAAAAAAGTGAGACACACAAAAATGGTCATTTTAAGTCGGATTTTCAGGGAATAAACTATAACATTATGGTTAGGTTTCTACTTCATTGCTTTGTTGTATCTTCGCTCCATAACTGAATGCCCGTACCTTGCCTTTGACACCACCAATAAGATTTTGGGCAATGCTGGGACCGACTTCTTTTGATACTTTTACCCGCTGTTTCTTCAAAGCCAGCTCGTTCTCCAAAACCTAAGGGATTTAAAAAAAATCTGACCTTCATGATGGCCCAAAACTTCTCGTTCGGGCAAAGTTGCAGTGAGTTCGTCTTTTGGTACAAAAACAACATTGTTTTCTCTGAACAAGTCCCACAGCGGCCGCTCGTAGGCACGATGCCAAATCCGGCGTCTCGCCTCCGTGAGACCGAAGGTAGGGTAGGAGGCGCTTCCGAAGGCACTCGTCCCGGTAGATTTGCCTGTTGATGGTACCCGTCATGATGTACTGGTGGCTCATCTTGACGCACTCACAGATGGCCTGCCAAACCAAGAACATTTTGGCGAATTTGTCCACCTACCCAGGTGTCTTCCTTACCTCTTAAGGAACGGCCAACCATGGTGTGGTAACGTAAAACTCCTGTCCCAGCAACTGCTTTGTGTCCGCCTTGATGTAAGTCTCATCATCCATCACGACGCACCTCGGTTCCGTCAGCCACTCCCGGTACAGCTTCCTGGCACGGGTTGTGGCCACCGTCTTTTGTTTATCGTTCCAGTTCGGTGCCTTCCGTACCGTTCCAGTTCGGTACCTTCCGTACGTGGTTGCCGGCACGTTTAATCGTTTTTTGGACAAACCAGATGGAAAAATCCGCATTCTTTGGCCGATGCTTGAACAGACTCAACACCGGTTCAGCTGTCTTCGGTTTTCTGCCGCTGGGTGGTCTGGATCTCCTTGAATGACTTTACCACTCGGGAAATCGTCGAATGTTTTCCGATCCATCTGTGGAACGCAGTCGGATTTTCCACGAATGTAGACGGAAGATTAACCAGGCAGTTTTTGCAGCAAAAGTGCTCTCCCGGGATTTTGGCTGAATTCGAAATCTATGCACTTGAACTAGTTTTACGATCGAGGATTTCCTGCATCTCGAACCCCGAGCAGCTAATTACGGATTACATGATCCAATTCGATTCATGACTGCACGTTTCAATGAATTATATGCTTTAGACTTCAGCTGTACAGCGAAAACCTTTCGTCACCGGATTCAACGTAGTCCGCTGGATTGGTGACGACACATGCAACTGCTTTCAATCAGAAATTTGTTGCAAGACGGTGAGTAGCTGTCCATTCAACGTACATCTGATGGATATTGCTACCTGTTTCCTTTTTTTTGTTCCCGATCAACTCTGCGATGACGGGCTCGACTTGACTGATCCAGGTCTCGTGGCCGTAGAGGACCACCGGTCTAATAAGCGTCTTGTAGATAGTCAACTTCGTCAATTTCATTCTTCCGGAGTCCAAAGTAGGCACGATTCCCTGCCATAATGCGTCTTTGAATTTCTCTGCTGGTATCATTTTCGGCGGTCACCAGTGAGCCCAAATACACGAACTCATCGACCACCTCGATTTCGTCACCGTCAATCTGAACTCGGGGTGGGAGGCTAACATTGTCTTCGCTAGAACCTCTTCCTTTCATGTATTTTGTCTTCTTGTCGTTGATGGCAAGTCCAATCCGCCTAGCTTCAGCCCTCAGTACGTTTCCACCATCGTCTCAAAGTTCCGTGCCATGATGTCGATGTCATCGGTGAAGCCAAGAAGCTGGATGGACTTCCTGAAGATCGTGCCACTCGTGTCTATCTCCGCTCTTCTGATCACACCTTCTAGCGCGATGTTGAATAGCAGACACGAAAGTCCATCACCTTGCCGTAACCCCCTTCGAGATTCAAAGAGACTCGAGAGTGTTCCCGATACTCGAACAACGCACATCACTCGATTTATCGTCGCCTTGACCAATCGCGTCAGTTTATCCGGAAATCCGTACTTGTGCATAATGTGCCATAGCTGACCTCGATCGATTGTGTCGTATGCGAATTTGAAATCGATGAACAAATGATGTGTGGGCACGTTGTATTCGCGGCATTTCTGCAGAATCTGCCGAATCGCGAAAATTTGAACAGCCATGAATCCCACGAACTCTTGCAAATGGTGACAGGCACCGGCATAGAATTTGGGAGAGTACCTTGTAGCCGGCGCTCAGCAGTGTGAGCGCGCGGTAGTTGCAGCAATCCAACTTGTCGCCCTTTTTATAGATTGGGCATACGACACCTTCCATCCACTTCTCCGGTAATATCACCTCCGCCCAAATCTTGGCAATTACCCAGTGCAACTAGGTAGTGGTAGTGGTCCGAATCTATGTTCACACTGCGGTACGTACGAACCTTGATAATGTCGGAGAAGAATTTCCCGTCAATTTAAGCGTGATCAATTTGGTTTTCTGTGCGTTGGTCAGGTGATCTCCAACCCACTTCCCTCAATCGAAAGAGGAACATAAAAACAAAAAATGTGTATCTTTTGTAAGACGGAGGGACTTCGGATGAAGTACGTACGCTAGTGTAGTGACTGGAGGTGCTTCGCCAAACAAGGAAGCGGTTGAGGTCCTGGAAGAAGAGATAGTGGTGATGGATGTGACGTCCTAGACGCCGAGAAGAGCAGTGGAGAGGAAAGCAAGCGCTGCTGAGAAACAGTAGCCGCCTGTTTTCCAGTTAAAAAATTATGCGATTACTACTACAAATTTGGAATAGTGGACTATACCGAGAAGGAGCAGATAAAGGCCGAAGAGGAGGCCAAGTGGCGGGTGCTACTGAAGGAAAAACAATTGGTAGAAGCAAGGGAGTTGAGGGCACGGATAAAAGTGGAAGCTAAACTCAAGTCGCCTCCAAGGAATAGTAAGAAGAACTCATACACTATGTCCCTCTTAAAATGTTAATATACCTAATTATAAAAATTATTTAATGGTTCTGGACTCCGTGAAAATTTTAAAACATCATCAGAAAGCTTAAGCTTTTACGATGAGTAAGACAGATGCTGTTGCCCCAATACTATGTGCAAAATAATGTGAATCTGGTTTGTGAACAAATACCTTTGATATGAAAAAAATATTATGGGAAAATGTATGGGAAACAAAGGTATGCAGTCGCTTGCCAAAAATTAAAAAAAAAAATCATCAATTATTATCAAACTTGGTACTTAGATAGAGTGCTCTGATTCAATCGGGCTACTTAAAAACTAACTTCTTCAAAATTTAGAAAACAACATCAGAATTTTAAAGTCCAAACAAGATCTCTTAAAACTGTTACATCATTCCACTGTCCCATCTCTCCCATAGCTCCGATATACAATGCTTGTAGAAGTTAAATTATTGACAGTTTTGCAAAACAAAACTCGTATTTCATGCTTACCTTGGATCCATTAAGCGCCGTTTGGATGTACTTTTCTCTGGCCGCCTGCTTATAGTATCCATCGAACTGGACGATATACTCGTTCTGGACAACATTTGTCACGAATTCCACCACAATCCGATGCGCACTGGTTCGCTTATGGCCCGGATCGCCATTGCTATCACTACCATTTTTTATGTGGGTTCCATTATTATCACAGCAATTCCCGCTAGCATTATGACCAGCGGTCGTAGTTATGTTACTTAACTTGCTTACGCTAACATTTTGATTCGATCCTAGGCCAACATTGCTGCTGTTGTTGCTACTAACATTGCTAAAGCTATCGTTTAAATTTGTACAATCACTGAACAGCAGTAGGAGTAAGATAAGGATACATCTGGTAAGCAGATTTCCTATGGCTGGAACTCTCATCTTATATGTATGTAACATCCGCCTAATTACACAAGCACCGTCCCACCCCGACCCACTCCTTGCCGCGCGCAAATCCTTTCCTAGATTCACACGGTGTTGCTTCAAACGGAGTCACCAAATAAACAATTTTCTTCTGATTACGAAACACACGTCCAAATCAACCAGTTCAAGAGTCACGTATTGAGTTTGATTTACGCCTGGTTAACGGCGGCATTTTTACATTATTTTCCACTTTCATTCCGGCAACAAGAATCGCAGTCTTTCTTCGCCATTTTCACCCGTTCGAATCTCTGAACTACGTCGACTTTCTCCTCGCAGGAAGAAAAACTTCTATTTTCGAAATAAGCGGCATTTTTAGACTCGAAGAACGCTTACATCACTTGCTCCACACCGCAAGGAGTTGAATTTAACTGGTCGCGATGGTTTTAATTGGCACAATAATATCTTTTCTCGGAGTTGATTGCGGAACTTGATAAAATTGCAAAGCAGCATAGTCGTTCTCGTTGATTTTTTTATTCATTATTATTATTATCCCACGCACCATCACTCACACACAGGCAATCATCGCTGTCAAATTATGCCAGGGGTGCACTGATGCTAGAACATTATCTCGGTTTGGAAATCCTTTATAATGCCGTTTTAAACAAATCGTCTTTAGTATAAACACTCCCTAATAAACGGATACCATACACTAACGATATCATAGATGGTACGACCATACCACATAAAGTTGGGATGTTATCCCGAATTGGTGGTTAGGCGCTTCTTATGGTTATTGTTTATGCGGGCTGTCGCACTACCGAATTTGGCAAATAATAATTCCTTTTTTAAATGGATTTTAGAAATAAAACAAAACAAAATAAATCGTTTCATTGTTAATTTTGTTATAATAAATCATTAATTATTATCAGTTACACTAAACGAACAAAAAATAAAAACTATCATTCACCCCTCAGTAGCAACTCGCGAGGTAAATATTTTTTCAGAGCTGCCAACAGTTCAACCGAAATTTTGTTTTGACATCATGATTCCCTGTGACTGATATCACACAATAATGTATAAAGCATTTTTTGATTCCAAAGACGATTCTACGTCAGCCCGATGTTAATCAGATAATGATTAATGTCGACCTGACTTCGGTGCACTATCAAATCAAGATCCTTCTTTAATTGTCTGTTGGGTTAGTTTGTTTTATTGAGACTCGATTTCGGTAGTGTGGTAAACACGTGCTGTACGCATTATTCCTGCTTGAATTGAAGTATTTCCGTGATTTTCGGATCGTTTCTTTACATAAAATGGGTAAAATAAAGGTAGAGAAACCCGACACTGATGCGGACACCTCAGTCGTCAAGGAAGAGGACACTTACGACGAAAAATTACGAAATGTGAACGCTATCTCCCAGCCGATGGCGTCCAAGAAGCTGACGAAAAAAATCCACAAGCTAATCGAGAAAGGTAAGCATTTCCATCTAAGGTTTTGTAGAACCTAACTTTTCATCCTGCTGTTTTCTTTTAGCGGCCAAACACAAAACCTTCCTCCGCAATGGATTGAAAGATGTCCAGGTCCGCCTCCGAAAGGGTGAATCCGGGTAAGATTCCATTCGGTTCCGACCGTTCCAATTTGGATTAACGTTGTGTTTACTCTGTAGATTGGTGGTCTTCGCTGGTGATGTGACCCCGGTTGAAATCATGTGTCACTTGCCGGCCGTTTGTGAGGAACGTAATATTCCTTACTGCTACACTCCCAGCCGAAAGGATCTCGGAGCGGCCATGGGAGTTAAGCGTGGTACAGTAGCGATGCTGATCCGCGAACATCCCGAATATCAGGACTTGTACGATAAGTTAAAGGTGGAATTATCGGCACTACCGATCCCGTCTTAAGAAGTTGCGCGACCTAGTTGGTAAGAATTTAGAGTTTATCTTAAACTTCGAACTTGCAGGAGCGTACCTACGTTAATACTAGACGTACACTGCTGCTTTGAAATCGATAACTATAGCTTTTATTTTTAATGAATTGAGTTCAATACATTGACCAGTTGAACTGATTTGAGTTTTTCAATCCAATTTTTATTTCGAATACATCGACTTCATACAAAAAATCTTAAACTACCGAAATTCCTTATTCTTAGGCTACACACATGCAACAACACTTAACAATTTTGTATGATCATATCGTTAGCTTACGGGGAATGAAGTTTAACACCAGATTTTGCTTCGAGATTAACATAATTATTATTGATTCCCATATACAATTAGATTAAATATCAATCAAAATTATCCACTTTGGCAGATTTGATCATTTCTTTTCGACTAACATGGCCATATTATCCATATTTGAGATTTCCCTACTACTGTAGCCTATTGTGCTTTGGTTGGTTACAATATAAATAAATCATCACAAACATTCCAATTTTTATCAAACAAAGGACACATTTGACTTCACATGACCGATACCGATGATAAGAGATTTTTGTTTTTGGTAATGATAGAAATGTTACATTCGCGACAGTTAATGTAATAAATATTTTCGAAGAGGATGCGGTCTTATGGGATTACACAAAGTTCCAAATGGGAAGTAAATAGTAGAAATTGTTTAGCAATATCATTATATGAACGTTAAACGATGTATTAGTACGTAGAACTAGGGGAAACTAGAGAGACTTGACTTTCAACCAAATACCAATATATGGGTGTGTGTATTAAATCGTTTGACTTTTTACCAACATTAAAACTTGTCCGAAGGATTTGTAAGTACTTTTCCTAACTAAGACTTTATCAGCTTTTTGCTAGGACCGCATTATGCAAAATTAAGCAAGCAGTTCTTTGCGGCACAAAAATAACCAAATCTCAATTACACAGTCTCAAATGATGATGAGAAGATTATAAGCTTTAGAAATAAATGGAAGTTGAAGTGAGACTACTTTCTTCTTCTTGTTCGCATTTCAAGCTTATTGCTTAGTGCATATTAGCTTATTGCGTGCTCTCAACTTAGTTTTCTAAATGCACTTCCATAGTTATTAATTGAGAGCTTTCGATGCCAATACCAATGCATGAATTTGTATATTTTGTGGCAAGCACAATGATACTCTATGCCCAGGGAAGTCGAGAAAATTTCCAACCCGAAAGATTCCCTCGACCGGACCGGGAATCGAACCCGCCGCCTCCGGCTTGGTAATACCGTGCCTTTACTGACTAGGCTATGAGGCCCCTTGAAGTGAGATTAACATACGCCAAATTGAAAACTCATGTGGCTAAATTCGAAAAATTGAAAAGTATGATTACATTAGGCTGTGAATTGTTCGGTCTTAGATCCTTCGACTCTGAACTTTGACTTTTAAAGAGTTTGGGGTCGAAAACTTGCAGTTACTACAAAATTATTTGTAGTTAGTGGCTGTCAATAAACTACATAGACAGTAGTAGGGGTAGTAGTAGTAGAATTATCTTCGACCCATACAAAATTTAAAGCAATGTATGGACAATTGTCTACGCAAAGGAAGGGGATGTTTGATTTGTTGAAATGAGCACGTCTATTGATGGTCACATTCGGGGTGATGGCGTTCGGGGAAGTGACATTCGAGGCTTTCAGGCCTATTCTGCGCGGCGTGTGAGGTGAGGTGACACGCTCTCACTTGTGAAGTGACAATTGTCACCTCGGGTGAGGTGACTCTCCGTGCAAATCAAATGGAGAGTCACCTCACCCGAGGTGACAATTGTCACTTCACCTCATACGCCGTGCAGAATAGCCCTGTTTGTAGCATAATCGTCACTTGTATGTTGTTTTTTGTAACGTAAGAACTATAAGACACTTAAAAACTTGTCGAAAGTAGATCTTCAAAATCGAGATAGGGTTAGGTGGGGCCAGTTCAGTGGCAGGCTCGTAGGCAACAGTTTATACCGTGACAGCGGGCCCAGCACAGAAAATAAACTATTTGAGCACGGGACATGCTGCCTACTGTCAAACCGTGCTGTTGGTATAGGCCTTGTCACTGTCCTGGGTGGGGCCCAATCATTTTGGAAATAAACACATTTCCAATGCTAGCTCACCCATAAAACTATGAAGAGTGTTCCTAGGCAGCATTATAGATGTTTATGTTATGTCCAAAATGAAGTCTTACAAAAATAGTAAAAAATCATTTTGTGCTGATGAGTCGAAAATAAGGATTTTCAAATTTACAAACATTCTTTTCCTTCAATACCTGCATTGAGGCATCACTATTAGTGATTAATTGGAACAGTAATAACAATGAATAGGTAATTGGTCAACAATCATCTTCATAAAAATGAAGCTCACACGGGGCAAGAGAGTCTATCCCTATAACTAAAATTATTCAAAAAATTGAAGAAATTGCTTCATTGTACATTTAAGTCTTAGGTATTTATACCTCTATATAACGTACCTGTTACTTTTGGCTTCTATCGACGATTTCCCGCAAACGATCATTTAAACAAGCAAAGTAATAGCACCATTGGACAGATGAGATAATCCCCCATCGATTGGTAATATTAATTTGTATGATTCAATTGTTATTAGGAAGATATTGACGATGGAAATCTAAAATGACAGTTACGTTATATCGAGGTATAATACCTGTACACAAATCCCGAAAATCGGTGCCTTATTTCACTTCATGTATGCTGCAGTGCAGCAAACGTGGAGTAACAATTTGACTGTTGGACGTGTCGTAGAAACTGATATTTGTGCAATTTTCGAAGTGGTTCTGAGCATAAGGATGTCACAGCGATTCACCTTAATCGATTTCAATCCATAAGACGCATGTCGCTTTTGCCCCGTAGGGATTGGCACTCTTTCAGTTTCAAAAACAGAATTGAGAGAACATTTTGAAAATATCGTAAGCAACTTTTGACGAGATTTAATTTGCATTACATTGCTGATTTATGAAGACAATGTTATGAACTTGCAATACGGTGTACAAACTCCTATACAAATTCACTATTAGTCAAAAATAGAATGTACAACTGTTAAGGTGTTACTCTTGTCCCACCACAATGAAAAATGCATAAGTGCGCAATAGATTTGAAATTAATTTACTCAACAGTGCTCAAATAATTCCAAATCAGTAAATGTAAGTTCAGATTTTTGGAAGATGACCAGGACCCGATTTGCAACCGTTTGAGTGCTATGGAGCAAACATTTTGCATCACTAGTGCGCGTCTTGTGAGTGTAGCACAATCGTCCCTACCAACCTCGTGCAAGTACAGCCGTAAACATTAACTCTTTTCCAATTTCAGCACCGATACCTTTATGGACATAATAAGGAAAAAAATATCGATAATCTAAATAAAGTCCCTCCAGTTTCCCTCACGATTTTCGAATTCAGAATTGCTCATGTTTCGAGGATCATTCGTAAAACAAGATAGTTTCGTTCAACAGCTCGAGCTGCAAGAATCCCCTTCAAATTATGCACCAGAGAATACACCTAAATGAGCGCGTCTCGAGTTACCTGCGCTCAAATCGTGAGCAATTCGAAATTTTCCTGTAACTGTTGGTTCATCTGACGACTTTACAGTGGTGGGTTTTCATCGAGAGAGCTGTCCTGTTCGCGAATGTACTGCATAAATGGTGGTACGGCCCGTTCTTGCATCGACTGCTGACGAAGCATTGCACTCGGTGGATTTTGCTGAGTCCATATTCCGTAGAGGCCAGGATTTGCGGAAAAGTTCTGCTGCAGCGGCTGTGCTTGGGGCGCCTGCAATGTAAAGAGTTTAGAATGTGGCAAAAGTGGCTCATTAAGTTCAACATACCCCACCACTGCTGGGCTCTTCGACGAATGGTGGTCCGATACTGGGCGGCGGCATCGGTGGAAGGCGGTAAATTGGCCGGCAGGACAACAGTTGTATTGCCTCGACTAAACCATCCTGGCTAGTGACCGATGAGTGCCACGTTGAATCGGGTGTTGTGCTTTGACTTCGGTCTCCGGTTGATGATTTCTGACCACCGGATTGTTGTGGCACGGCAAGTTTTGATATGGGCATAATTCTAGTTTGATTCCAATGAACGGTGGATTTATCCGCTTTGGCTTCCCAAGGCATTGACCATCGGCGCATTTGACTTTCGACATCCAGTGCCGATTCCGAATTCACTTCCCCAGCAGCAGCTTCCGACCAGCGACGTTGACCGTTCAGTGTGAACAGTGGGAAGTTCAGAGGACTTCTTGATCCACGATAGAAAGGTGCTTTCATTCCAGAAAGATGACCCGGATTTGGTAATGGGCCACGGATGTTGTCCAGATAGCCTTGTATGGGGCTTGGTCCACGAATATCGTGTGGCGAAGGTCCGCGAGTTTGTTCGTAGGCTGTAGTTCCATGATCGGATGAACCTTGAGTGGAGATTGACCCTCGGTCGTACAATCGAGCTTCTTGCATTTTCATTCCAAAGTGTGGCGACGGCGTCTGAGATCGTTGATCATTACGGGCAATCGTAGCAGCTGCAGACATCGGGTGTTGAATCATGGGACACTCGGGATCGTGAGGGAATCCGACTTGCGTTTGACATTGATAGCAGCACATGAGTTGTGCGAAAGAGTCACAGGATGCGACACAGAACTGATGCTGAAGATTTATCATTGTTTGAGCATTATCCTGGAGTATGAGCTGATTGTATTCTCTGATATGTTGCAGTTCACTCTCTTGATCAACTGAGCTTAAAGGCTGCGTTTTAAAATCCTGCAAAACACTAACGATATGAGATTTCACTGTGCTGGTTGCTACTACCGATGCCCGTGCTAGGTCATCCCAAGCGGTAATAAACTGAAAGGCCATATGCGATGGTATCTGCGAGGGAATGAATGGCTGCTGCTGTTGCGATTGCTGTTGCTGCTGACTACCACCTGTCTGCGAAGATTGTTCCAGGCTAGCCCAAGGTTCCAAGGCTGCTATCGTCTGAGCCAAGCGGTATCCCGCCGCACAGAGATTGTTCATGATTTGCAGATAGTTCAGCCATGCTCCGAGGCATTCACTGACGGCCGATTTTGCGGATCCTTGGGAACTACTGGAACTGGTTGAAGGCGATATCGATGAGTTACTGTAGGACAACACTCCCGAACCTAGCGAGCTGCGAGGAGTTGTCTGCGGCTGAGCCAGTGGATCGTCCAAGTCACTCATGGTGGATATTTTTTCGCCACCGGCAGAGTAGCATCGGCACCGTTCAAGCACTTAGGTTACTGTTTCACGCGGACACAATATCATACTAGCGAGTATTGGCTGTTAAGAACTTCCAAGTTGCGGTGTAGAGGCCTGCAACTTATGTCCTACGCAAAGAAAAGTCTATCTGCGAGAAAAGTTTACATTTGCACCACCTCCCAGCTGCTTTTTTGCTGATGGTTCTTGAAATCTAACATAATCGTTTGCATGAAAGTACATATTGGTACTAATACAAGAACGTTAGGGTAAGCGCGCCAGTTATGGTATTTTAGAAAAAAAAAAAAAAACATTGAAGATTGCAAATAAAAAACAAAAAAAGGTAAAATGTTGGAGACTTGAAATCTGGAGGTTAGGTAGAGCGCTACTTCGGCGTAATCGTCGTTTTCCGAAGAAAATCCAATGGCATTTCAATGCGTTTGGACGGAATTGAAACTCGTAGGACAAATTTGGAATCAAAAAGCAGTGTTAGATGATTCTATAACATTCCCCAGAAAACCATTCCCCAAAATTCCATTCCCCACAAAAGCATTCCCCAGAATGTACCATTCTCCAGAAAAGATGATGATTAGTAATTAATTTATCACTTTTTTTTTGGTTATTTGATATTAAATTTCAGTTTTATATTACAGAACAGCTTAAGGTGATTCGCTGTGAGATCCTTATTCTTGCTACCACTTCGAAACTGTAAGTGCACAAATATCAGCTTCCACGACACGTACTACAATGAAACTGTTACTCCACGTTTGCTGCGGTGCAGCATACATTCAGTAGCAATTTCAGGTGAAATGGGGCTCTAATTTCCGAGATTTGTGTAATTGAAAATTCGAGTTGAAAGTGCATTTATAGCCTACCTTATATATACCTACATATTTTATTTATTACTTTTATGGAACTATGTATTTATCAATTCCAAATAATTTTATAGCTCTTTAGAAAATGACAACCTTCAAGTTTTTGAGCACTTCGTTCATCATTTAAAAAGTCAAAGGGTCTATTATGTAATCCATTTCAACCAGTCGGAAATTGTTAAACCTTATCGAAGAATTGTTCGACCTGAGTTGAAGAACTTCTCGTGATGGATTAAAAAATCGGTGCATTAACGTTGAACTACCGATTACAAATTTATAACATTATTCCACACGTTATTATCCCGAATGGGCATTACCCCGAATCCCTTGCGAAAAACTATTGATTATATATTTTCTTTATATATTAAAAGAAGGGAATATTCCCTTCTTTTTTATCGTATATCCAAAGAATCAATTAATTCCTTTTGTTATATTTTCAAAGAAGGGAATATTCCATTCTTTATCATATATATTTAACGAATTAATTATGTTCTCTTTCATATATTAAAAGAAGGGAATATTCCCTTCTTTATCGTTTATCCAAAGAATTAATTATTTCCTTTTCTTATATTTTCAAAGAAAGGAAAACCCCTTGATCTCTATACAGGGGGGAATCTGCTCACAGACACCTGAGAAGGAACTCAGGGTGTGGGGATGGGAGAATTTCACTCCCGACCCACTAAACCTTACCCTGTGCGCTTGGCCCTTGGCCTCCCCGGAACCGCCCGAAGGCATTACTTCGTGGGAGGGGCCGCTGTAGCGCTATGGCGCCTCTCTAGCAATACTCTAACGATCTGGTCGGGCAGTAGGTAACTGCTGCTCGGCTCGCCACTGTCGTTGTAATACCGAAACTATGTGGGTGACCGCAGTCACCACCGCGCTCCAGTTCTCGGTGGTACCACACATCCTATGAACGATGTTGTCCGGACTGGTATCCGCTCCGCATATCGCTAGCATAGCGCTCGATACTGGCTCGAAACGTGGACAGGCAAACACGACGTGTTCGGCGGTCTCCTCGACACCAGCACATGTGGGGCAGGTGGGAGTACTTGCATGTCCGAACCTATGCAGGTAGCTCCTAAAGCAGCCATGGCCTGACAGGAACTGTGTCAGGTGGAAGTTTACTTCCCCATGGCGCCTGTTGACCCAGCTTGATACGGAAGGTATCAAGCGGTAAGTCCACCTCCCCTTTGTGGAGTTTTCCCACTCCAATTGCCATCTCGCGGTCGACACAACTCGCGCGTTGTTGCGCACCCCTCGAACGGTCCTCGCGTCATAACACGCCACATCCTCCTTAATGATAAGGCTGATTGGCATCATCCCTGCTATGACACAGACGGCCTCTCTCGAGATAGTGCGGTATGCACTGGCCACCCTTAAGCACATTAGCCTGTGTGTACTCTCTAATTTCTGCCTGTGGCAGTCAATATCCAGTACCGCAGCCCACGCAGGGCCGCCGTATCTGAGGATAGATACTACGACCCCAGCGAGGAGCCTGCGCTTACTGGCATTCACTGCCGAGCTGTTTGACATCATACGGGATAATGCCCCCACAGCCATAGACGCTCTCTTGCAGGCGTACTCGACGTGGCAGCCGAAGCTGAGCTTATCGTCGAGCATGACCCCCAAGAGTTTTAGAGAGCGCACAGACCTAATTGTGCTTCCGCCGACTGTCAACGTTGCATGCTGTACTGACATGCGATTGTTGACTACGACCACTTCCGTCTTGTGATGGGCGAGCTCCAGTTTCCTGGTTCTCATCCATTCCTCCACAAGCCTGACGCAGTGGGCCGCTGTCAGCTCTACCTCCTCGAGGGATTCCCCGCAGACTACCAGCGTGACATCGTCGGCAAAACCTACAATTTTCACGCCTACCGGGAATTTTATCCTCAACAGTCCATCGTACATGACGTTCCATAACACCGGGCCCAGGATGGAGCCTTGTGGCACACCTGCGGTGACTCTAACGCATTTTTCGCCATCTTCTGTGTCGTACGTCAACACACGATTCTGGAAGTAGCTTTCCAGAATCTTATACAGCCCTCCGGGAATTTGGAGCTGGTGTAGCGAGCGGGCTATCGCCCCCCAGCACGCGCTGTTGAACGCGTTCTTCACGTCTAAGGTTAGCACCGCGCAGTAGCGAATGCCCCTTCGTTTCCGATGGACCACCTCTGCCGTCTGGATGACGTCGCGGATGGCGTCCACCGTGGATCTGCCCTTTCGGAACCCGTACTGGCTGCTTGACAGGCCGTCTACACCTTCGGTGTAGGCCGACAGCCTGTTGAGGATGACCCTCTCAAGCAGTTTCCCAGTGGTGTCCAGCAAACAGATGGGTCTGTATGCTGACGGGTCCCCAGGGGGTTTTCCTGGCTTCGGAAGCAGCATCAGCTTCTGCCGCTTCCACGCGTCTGGGAAGACGCCTACGTCCAGACAAGTCTGAAAAACAGAACGGAACATGTCTGGATTTTCCGCAACGGCCGCCCTCAGAGCCACAACCGGGATCCCATCTGGGCCCGGGGCCTTGCCCACCACCAGCGACCTGGCAATACCGCCAAGTTCACTGTTCGTCACTCTAGACACTTCTCCCTGATCCGCGCCTGGGATCCGCGGCCAGGAGTCTACGTCCCTACGCGGGAACAGGAACCCAACGATCGGAGTCAGTACCGCTGGTGATCTCTCCGGGGGTGCCGTCACGCCGCGGGTCTTTGCCATGACCACTTTGTAAGCATCCCCCCATGGGTTCGTGTTGGCGCTTTGGCATAGGCTGTCAAAGCACGCGCGCTTGCGTCTGGCGATCTCTTTATTGAGGGCTGCCTTAGCCGCTCGGAGAGCGACGCGGCGTTCCTCGCGAGATTCAGTCGTACGAGCTCGTTGCATCCTCCTTCTCGCCTGGAGGCAAGACGCCCTGAGGATAGCAATCGACTCGCTCCACCAGTACACCGGTCTGTGGCCATGCCTGGGATAGGCTCTCCTAGGCATGGTTGTATCGCACGCCCTTGTCAGTGCTGCTACCAGTTCTTCCCCCGTCAGATCCGGGGTTATTCGCTCCCGCCTCAGTGCTTCGCCGAAGACCTCCTCCTCGAAGAACGACGTCCGCCAGCCTCGAGCGCAGGAAGAATTTCCTCCTGCCACTCGCCTCTCACCTGGCCCCACACTGTACCGAATCGCCTGATGGTCACTATGGGTGTAACCCTCATCGACCCTCCAGTGTAGGTTGCCCTCCAAACTCGGGCTGCAGTATGTCACGTCGATGACGGATTCTGCACCATTCCTTCTGTAGGTACTGACCGAGCCGGTGTTGGATAGTACAACGTCCAGCTTGGCCATTGCCTCCAGTAGAATGCATCCTCTCTGGTTGGTGTGGTGGCTACCCCACTCTACCGCCCATGCGTTAAAGTCGCCCGCAATGACCACCGGTCTTAGGCCGACAAGTACCGCAGTCAGTCTGTCCACCATCTGCGAGAATTGCTCGATAGACCACCTGGGCGGAGCATAGCAGCTACTTAAATATACTCCGTTAACCCTGGCGATCACGAATCCCTCGCTCGAGTTGGACACGACTACCTCCTGAATGGGGAAGCTCCCCATCGTGCATATCGCCGCCATCCCCGACGCGTCCGTGACCCAATTCCCGTTGCCGGTTGGGACGCGGTACGGGTCAGAGATGATTGCGTCATCCGCTCCCCATTCCACTGCCGATTGCCACAGCAGTTGCTGGGCAGCCGAACAGTGGTTCAGGTTCAACTGCGCTACCTCGAACATGGCTGAGCATTGCTCTTTGCCTTAGCAGCATTGCTCTTGGACCCCGGGCAGCGGGGGCCACCTGCCATGTGGTTGGTAGGGGTATTCCCCTTCTCCGCGCATATAGTGCACCTCGGCGGCTTTTGGCAACCTCGCGCCTTATGGCCCTCCAAGCCGCACCATCTGCAAAGCTTGCTCCTGTCGGTGTTCTTACAGTCACGGGCCACATGGCCCTGACCGAAGCACCTAAAGCAAGCCGTCACCGGTCGGGGAATACTGACGGGGCAGACCGACCAGCCCACTCGCACCCTCCCTGCGGCTACCGCCTTTCTGGCCTCAGCTGCAGAGAGCCTGATGGTAGCCACTTGGGTGGAGAACAGTCCCTTCCTCAAGGTAATCGCTGATTGCGGTACCTCGACTTGGCACTGTTCCCGGAGCGCCGTGACTATCTCGGTCGCCTCCGTCACTTCGTCCAGGTCCTTGACCTGGATGGTGATAGTCGAGCCTAGCGACTTCACCTGTACCCCAGAACCAACAACCTCCTTTGCCAGTTT